GGCCATTTAACAAATTTAAATCACATGATGATATACCCAGTATAAATAAGAGAACCCTTCTTTTTATTTTGGATATACATACACATTTTGAGTATGGGAAAAGTCACCTGGCAAGAAGTGAGCATTAAAATGTTTAATGCAAAAACCTGCAAAAAATATATCCAATATAAAATATGCATATGAAAATAATCATGCACATGCACGAATGCATTACCTAAATATATCACTGCCTTCACATGCATAACTATTACAAATGGCAACTAGATATAGAGCCTACTTGCAGATTCCCACAATATTTTGAATAGGTGGAAGTACTTCTCATGGTTGTCAGTGATGTTAGGCAGACAGAAATACATACAGCTGAGCTATTAGTACCTGATCCTAGCAGTTTTGGGGTTGAAATTGCTACTGCAAAGTTGAAAAGTTATAAATTGCCAGGTAGTGATCAAATTCCAGAAGAACTGATTCAAGCAAAAGGTGAAATATGACGGTCTAAGATCGATAAGCTAATTAATTCTGTTTGGAATAAGGGAAAATAGCCTGATCAGTGGAAGGAGTCTATTATTGTACCAATTCACAAGAAGGGTGATAAAACTGACTGCAGTAATCATCATGGGATATCGCTGCTATAAACGTCACACAAAATTTTATCCAATATTCTACTCTCAAAGTTATGTCCATACATAGATTCAATTATTGAGATCATCAGTGTGGGTTTCAACATAACAGAACAACTACTGATCAAATCTTCTGCATTCGTTAGATACTGGAGAAAAAATGAGAGTACAATGAGACAATACATCAGCTATTCGTAGACTTCAAGAAAGCCTATGATTCTGTCAGGAGGGAGTTATTGTATGATATTCTCATAGTAGAGTTTGGGGTACCCATGAAACTAGTTAGGCTGATTAAAATGTGTTTAAATAAAACGTATGGTAAAGCCCGTATAGGTAAATATTTGTCTGATAATATTCCTATCCAGAATGGTCTAAAACAAGGAGATGCTTTATTGCCACTGCTTTTCAACTTTGCTTTAGAATATGCAATTAAGAAGGTCCAGGAAAATCAGGTGGGACTGAAATTAAATGGGACACATCCGTTGCTGGACTATGCTGATGGTGTGAATCTACTGGGTGATAATATTGACACCATAAAGAAAACACACAGACTTTACCTGACACTAGTAAGCAGGTTGGTCTGGAAGTAAACACAGAGAAAACTAAGTATATGTTGCAGTCTCATAACCAGAATGCAGGGAAAACTCATGACATAAAGATAGCTAACTCAGGTTTTCAAATGTGGTACATTTCAGATATTTGGAAAGACTATAAAAAAATTAAAACCTGATTCAGGAGGAAATTAAGATGAGACTGAATTCTGGTAATGCTTGCTACCATCCAGTCAAGAACCTTTTGTCTTCTTGTCTGCTGTCTAAAATCATAAGAATTAGAATATACAAAAGTATAATTTTTCCTGTGGTTCTTTATGGGTGTGAAACTTGGTCTCTGGCATTAAGGGAGGAACATAGACTGAGGGTGTTTGAGAACAGGGTGCTGAGGAGAATATCTTGATCAAAGAGAGAAGAAGTGATGGGAGGTTGGAGAAAATTACATAATGAGGACCTTCATAACTTGTGTTCAATGATCAAGACAAGTGACCACTAAGAAGACCAAGATATAGGTGGGTGAGCAATATTAAAATGAATCTTAGAGGAATAAGATGGGATGGTATGGACTGGATTCATCTGGCTCAGGATAGACCAGTGGAGGGTTCTTGTGAATGTGGTAATGAACCTTCAGGTTCCATAAAATGCTGGGAGCTCAGCTCCATGAATGAGTGAACTACATACAATTTTTCCTTGGCACTACAGCCCCAGTGGGCCTAGGCCTACCTCCATGAACTCTCCGTTCACTTCGGTTTTTCTAAATCTTACACATATGGTAGGACTCCTTGGGCAAGTGATCAGCTCGTCGCAAGGCCTCTACCTGTAGACGAACACAGGAAAACGCACACAAACATCCATGCCGAGTGGGATTCAAACCCACGATCCCAGCTTCCGAGCGAGCAAAGACAGTGCACGCCTTAGACCAATCGGCTACCGTGACTGGCGAACTACATACAATACACTACAAGAAAGAGTTGTGCATGAAATTATTCCCTATTTATACTTTATATAAATATTGTAATCATAACCAATGGTATAAATGTGTGTATGCACACAAGCACCAAGTTATGGAGATATATCACTGGTGAAGTAAATGTTCAACATATCTGCCTCTCATCCTAGACTCTAGACTGATAGCACTGTAAAATGCACATTCCCCAATATGGTTGTCATTCTGTTGCCCAAGTTCCAAAAGATTAAGTAGTACATTTGTGACCATGCAACAACACGTGTTCTCTATACAATCTGCTCTCTGTTTAACAGTCAACTTTCCTTGGTCCACATTTTCACTAACTGGTACTATACATCCCTTGGTAGCAATGTGCCCCAGTGAAATCTCTATGATTCAGACCATTCACCCATGCATTTCAGTTTTCATTAGTAACAAATTTGCCACTTCATGGGAATGGAGGGGGTAATTTTATTTATTCATCACCTTGTATATAAGGCCTGTTCAAATGACACCACTTAAATAACACTGCTGGCAAATATGGCTGATTAAATGCCTTCAGCTGAACAACTGTCACATGTAATATTCATGAAAAGTCAGTTACTGTATACATAAGAAAACTGGGAGAGCCTGTGAAGACGAAGAATGGAGAATTTTGGCAGCTTGATCTACCAAATCTTGAATAGAACACAGTGTACTTTATAAATTTACCTTGTCTGCTTTAGGCATGTGGTAGCGTAGTTGGTTGAGGCACTATGCTACAAGCTGGAAGGTCACAGGTTTGAATCCCAATGAGGTGGATTTTTTCAATTGACCTAATCCTTCCAGCTGCACTATGGCCTGAGGTCAACTCAGCCTCTAACAGAAATATTTTCCAGGATTCTTCCTGGGAGGGTAAAGGACAGCTGGCGCATAAGGCTGACAAACTTACCGCTATCTGTGAGCCAACTGTCTAGAGAAAATATGCGAGCCTCGACATCTCACAACCCTACAGGCCTTTATAGCTTTACCATTTACATTGTCTGCTTACATTAAAAGTTTTTTCTGTATTATATCCAGAGAACTATCAACAGTGGTGCGATGAAGTTTCTGTAACATTGTATATAAGGCAATGAGCTGTCCTGTCAACTGAATCTTCTCCAATCTGTAGGGCAGGCGAGGTTTCTTAACTACAGAATGAGATGAGAGATCCCTGTATGCCCCAAATTTCAAACTTAAAATTTATTTTGCATTCTACAATCCCACTGTAGGAAAGTCTGTTGCATACAGAATACGTCATACGTCTTGCAAATAATGTGGAGTTAATTATCAATTCCAAGTACTGTTTTATAGATAATGAAAGATCAAGAAATAAAAAACTGGGACATTAATGACCAACTTATAAATCAACTGAATAATTACATTGGAGACTTGAACTGTTGGCATTAGAATGCGGAAGCATTTGTAAAATGTGACTATACTTGATATAAGAACAAAGAAGTTGGTAAGTAACTCTCGATAAACACATAAAAATTAATTATAGACATAAAGGATTTATGAGTTTTTCATGGATAATTATTATTTCAATATGATTAAGTGTAACTAAGAAACTAATTATACAGAATGTAAGAACACAATGAGCATAAAAATTTATTACAAATTTAGTTTCTTTAATTACAGAATTAATTATTAATTCCTAGTCATAATTTATAAATTTTAGTATAAAAAATACAAATGTAATATTAACAGTTAGCAACAGATCAACTGAAGAACATCCGAACACCAGGCTACATAATAAAATACCATAGGCATTTACAGAAATGTCAGTATGTAGAGAATTGGAGGTCATCAACTTTGCTAGACCCTATATGATATTAATGGTAGTGTAACAAATGAACTGTTGGAAGATGTGTGAAAATCCATCAACTGTGAAGCAGACATTTTCTGATAGTCGTAAAAACAGCAACTACATGCTACATTGGTGGCTGGGTGATAACTTAAAACTTACTTCCAAAATAAAACTACTTACAAATTATGACAATTATGTTACAGACTGTGCCACGTAACTTCGAAAAAGGCCCCGCATTCCTAGTCAAATCCCGCGCATAGCTTGTGGGTGGGAGGAGTTTCTTAACACTCGTTCTTCCACTGCCCGCCTGTCACTTCTCACTTCCTCCACCCCAGTCTGAAATTTTTCTTCTGCGCATTCAAGGTTACTCTTGGCCTTGTTCAAAGTTACTGACACTTGCTATAGTGTTAATGGAAGTTCATCTAATTAAGTGAACTAAGCAATCTCAGATATATCCTAACAAGTCAACAGACTTCAGTGTGGCTGCAAGTGCCACAACAGCGACTGTGGCCTAGGATGAGATGATGGCCAACTACACGAGTGGGAATAGGGGAAACTGGGATGTTTAAGTGAGTCAAGTAATGAACTAAAGTCACATGAATAATATCATATTTAACAAAAGCCATCTTTTGCCAACCTATTCAACCTTTAAAGAGAATTCAACTGAAAAGAAATAAGTGGATTGGATACATCATAATTTACTCATTACCAATATCAACAGCAGTATTTATTATTAAACCATTTGAAAATAGTTTGAGCCACTGGGCACAACCCAACCAGCGAAGAATAACTAGAACACCAAAATGTTTAGCAAGATAATGCAGAATTTGAGAAAACTGTTCCATACAATAACGTAAATATAGTATTTCAGCAGCTACTGCATAATTGATTTTGAATAATGGTTCGGCATTTTTGTAGTCGGTGATTATTTCTATTTATTCTTATGTTTTAATTAAGTAAATCAGTCTTCACCTGATTTTCACCCCACTTCTCTTCTATCTTACAGTAATATAAATCTGATACTTCTCTCAACTTATGCTTCAAACAAGAACACGCACCAGGTTCTGAACTTCGTCTCCTCCTTCTCCTCCTCCAGATGAATATGAGTGCAAAAATGCACATCAGCACAAAGACTGCAAATACAGCCATGAGGATAACATCAACACGAAGTGAAGGTGGTGATGTTATCTGTGGTGATTGTGGTGATACTGACTGTACTTCAACTGAAACAGTATACATACATATTTTATTTATTAATCAAAAATGCAGGGTGTACGAAGGGGACAACTTCAGAGACAGATACGAGTATATAACCAGGAAGTATCTGATAAATAATGATCTTCTCCCAGGCTGACAGAATTTTCTTAAAAAAGTATCTCAATGTAAAAATAGTATTGAAAAGTATTTTGGTCTAAAATGTAAACAATTTCTTAATGCATTCTTCAAACTTTCACAAATAATTAAATATCATTACACATGACATTTTTGTGCAAATGCATATTTTCCTTCCATGCAGCCAACACACTTCAGAACCAGTATGCCCTAACAAGTCGTTTAACTTATTTTGCAGTGCATACTTGCAAATATGAGACTAGGGCATAACAATGAAACTCCCATTTAATGTTTCTTTTATGAGCAATGGATTTGAAGATTAAACTGCTGAAACTCTCACCTGGAGGTAATTTAACTCCAAGATTAATGACCTGGATAATTGAAATTGAATGTTAAATGATAACATTAAATTGGGGTTCCACTATGTTTCCCTCTATTTCATATTTTTGGCAAATTTTAGTCACTTTCCATTAAAATGGGTTTTGTGATGCTAGGTACTGTTCAGTATACTGGACCTCTTTATAACTCACCTTTTAAAAATATTTGTATAATTATTCATTATGATTTTTTCCAGTATGACATTTGTATCACAGAAGTGAGGTGGTTACTTGACAGCTGCACAGTTGTACTGTACCAGGTCATTCAAGCATCAGAACAGTTTCTTGTATACCCCACAGAAGTACTACTCACTTCCCTGCATGCCTTTCATTGTCATGCCAGTAACAGACTCTAAGCTAAAAACCACTGATGAGAAGCAAGAAAAAGTATCAACTGAAAAAATTCAAATACTGCCCACACAGCACCATGAAACTGAACGCCTTCCACCTCAAAACAAACAATGATATAGAGAGAGCTATATTCTTTTAAAAGCTGTATTTTTTCATGTTCTCTGCAAAATAACAGTTACCACAAACATACTATTGTATAAACCAAACAATAAATATTTCCAAGCTTCTATGTAGCAATAATATACATGTAATATCCCACAAGAATCATCTCTATGGAGTATATATATACGTGTGTGTGTGTAATTATACACTTACAGACTTTGCTGTTGTATACACAGTAAGAGTCATTATTCCAAACTGTATCCCGCACACATCGATCATCAAAAATTTCCACCTGTGAACAAAAAGATTAATTTCCTACTATACCATTATGTAATGTACTAGTATCATACCGCACCTTGCAGATGTATTGTAAACAGTAAACTACTATGTTGAATTATCATTAAAAGCATTTTTTCTGACATATCTGTTATTTATTTACTGAAAATGACAAAAAGTGTAGGAGGGGTATAATATTCAGAAGTGTTTAGTTTTGAGTAGCCATATCCAACATGGATCCCACACTGATCAAAGAGGAATAAGTATATAACTACTGTGATCACATACACTATAAATGACTTACCAGCACACAATAATATCCAGCCGTAACATTCTGTATTGTGCATCGTATCTCATCTTTGCCCTGAAAGTTACAAAATTTAATGTACAAAGTTGCAACAGAAAATCCTTTTTTTTCTGTTGTATTATGAAGATAAATAAATAATATAACAAATATATGACACAAGCATAAACAGGAGTGTGTGGTCAATCAAATGGCCTCAACTGAAAAGTTCAGCAACCAACTATCAAGGATTACACTGTAGTATTCTGTTGTGTACATTTTACTTAAACCTGAAATCACACTATTTCAAATTTTTAAGCTCATTTCTTCTTTGTTACAAAACTAAACAGCAAACACTTATCTCAAAGAGCAAATATTCAAACACAGGTGGTTGAATTAAACAAATAAAAATTCTGCTTTAAGTCAGATGCATGAGCCATTAAGAATGTTAGGCTAAAGTGTTCTATTGTACATCCTTTTTGCATTACTGGTGGATGCTAAGTGTCAGAAACTAACATTATCAAAGTCAAAATCCTCTTTTTTATAATGAACCATGAGAAGAATAAAAAGGAAAAGCTGATGGCACATCCAAACATCAACCAAATAATTTTCAATAAGTTTATAATGTTTTATTTACAACAGTACAGTAAGCTAAGAGAAAAAATTATATGGAACTGTAGTTGTGATTATTCCAGTTTCACATCTGAAGGTACAAGGATTCAACAAACAATATTTTATGTGGCCATAATGTTGCCATTTTCCAGTTTTCAACACAAATATAATTTAATGAAACTGCAGCACTGTTAATGAAGTAATACACACAAACCTTCAGGGCACTGAAAGCCCCATTATACCCTCAGAAATGCAGACCACTTGACTGTAGGTGTTATTACAGATGGGAGTTATACAGCACTAAGATGGGCTGACCTCCAACACTTACATCTAAAATGTATATGGGAGCTAGCTGGTTGAACACATGCAGCTTGCTAATAATGTTCCAAAGAAATAATACTAAAATGGTGCAAAAGTAAAACAAAAATTTTTTAATGTTCGCAGTAGTAATATTGCACAAAAACATAAAATAAAACTGCAAGCAAACAAATCAGAATATGAGGCCATGTCACAATATCAAAACTATGTGATGTTTGCAAAATAAAAATCTTGGAAAGAAAAAAAAAATATTAAATTAAGTAAAGCAATATTACTCTCAAACGGAAGTTCAGGTTGAACGAAACATTTCACTGTTTTCCAAGATGAAAAACAACAACATAACTGAGTGTAGATCTTTTTTATCCAGATCAAACAAGTGCCATATCAGGTTCATGTGCTTAAAAAGAAACTGCAATTTATGGCAAGGAGAAAATCAAAATGGGTATTCCCACATATAGAAAATTATTCAAAATATCTTAAAGATAAGGAACTGTATGAGTGACTTGTGAGAGACAAGATATATGGAAATATTGTATGAATCATTAGGTAAAATAACTGGATGACCCACAGGCTATTTTCAGGAAATTACAATACACTATGCATATAAATCAATGGTGTTACTTACTATATGGCAGATTGGTTTGTTTGTCAACTTATTTTTCACTTTACACATGAACTTTCCAGATGTCTGTAAAAGAAATATGCATTTTCAGACATATATAAATATCTCCATCATCTCGGAAACTTAATAAATACTTACTTATAGCAATCAATAAGTACACAAGAACTTAAGAGATTAAAAACTGTAGCTTGAATCACTGACTAGAATTAGCAGTCTTTCTTACAATCCACTGCAATGGCATTATATTCACGCTGTCTGTTTGAAACCTCTTTCAGGGCGTGTAATACCTTCAGTAAATAACTGTAAGGAAGATTCATGAATGTTCAATGCTATCTGTGGTCTCGTGATTTTTGTTCCACTGCATGATGAGATTCAAATGCATGGAGGAACCTTTACTAATCAGTGATAATAAAAATACAGGAAAATGGGAAAAGTGTATGATTAAATTGCAGCCATTCTGCCAGCTTTAACATAAATTCCAACACTCCTTTTTAGTACTAAAAGGGTTATTTTTTGCTCTCTTTCACCCCCAAATTTAAAACCAATGGCCCCCTCCAATCACTTCCCAGTACCAGCACCTTTCTTTCTATACAAACAGTGCCATACACATATTTAATTTCAACAGTAAAAGGCAGAACAAAATATGTGAAGTGTAACAGGTACCCTATGGCAGAAAGTAATGAAGTAAGGTTCTGATACCAACAAACATAAATAATGTTATGGGTCTGTTATAAACCCCCATTCAGCAGTTCTTGAGTTGTTACATGCACAAAGATGGCTGGAAAGGGTGATTTTAATAGGTTCTCTGTTGGAACGTAAATGGGACTAAGAACTAACTCTACAGTACAGAGACTTCATGAGGACTGAACAGTTAATTAGCTGATCAAGATGCTCCCAACTTTTATCAGCCTAATGATTCATCACTGTGTTTACAAAATACTATCAAGTTATCTTATCTTCAGTCAGTTTATGCCGGCTGGATCATTCATTTGTTTGTACACAGATCTTAGTCTTGTCCACTGTTTAGCATACATGTCCTGTGTGCATTTACCCCTACCCTTTCACCTGGGGCTCACATCTGCTTCTCTATGCTCACTGCTTAGGAAGCACACTGGAAGACTCCCAACAAACAATGAATAGAATATACAGTGATTCCAGTTAACAGGGGCAAATCCTGAAGGATGACATAGCTAAGCATGAACAAGTAACTAACGAAGATACTAGAAATTTACTGATGGACTACGACTTATTTCATGCAGGAAGCTAATGTAGGCAGTCATATATCAGCATTAGAAACTGCGCTGATTTTGTTCACTTGCAGTCTGTCAAATGAACACAGCAATGTCACTAACTGTTAAGAAGTACACGTAGGTTTAATACATAAATGAATCAAATTTATTTTTAGGGTAAATATTTTTTGCAATTTGTACCAACTGTTTCAGTTCATCTGAAGTCAGTACTTTTTTTTTACTCAACAAATGGAAAGCTTATTGTTTTATATATATATATATATATATATATATATGGTAAAAGGTAACAATATCACTGTAACACCCTGTGGAGGCCCACAGGGTTGTGAGACATCAAGGCTCTATATTTTCTAGGCAACAGGTTCACAGATGACCGTGAGGCTGCCAGCCTTATGGGCCAGCTGCGTTACATCCTCAGGAAGATTCCTGGTACTCATTTATAGGTACAAATAACTTTCTAACCCTTTATGTGTAAACAGTTTCAGAACATAATCACGCAGAATTTTCAAGCTGATCTCACATCTGTAGTTCAACTTGCATGCCCCACCTGACTAAGTGTCCTCCTGCTATTCAGTCCATGGCAGATTGGGCTGTTTACTAATACACTCAGGGAAGAGGCAGTAAAGGAGAGGTGGGCATGATGCACATTCAAATCACTTCACACCTTCACCATCTTATTTTGTTATTACTGTCCCATCAATGCCAAGGTCTCCCAAATTTTCACTTCTACTGAGTTTTTCCAACCAAGATGTTGCATGCTCTATCTCCTGTACATGCTACATAACCTGTGAATCTAGTATTCATTAAATTAATGTCACGTGACACAGTGACTAACGACGGGGTTCGGATTTGTAATTGGATTTATTAACCACCTATCAGTCGTAACTACAATTATTTATTACACTATTACTGATTTTCATACTACAAAGCATTCCACACTAATCTCTTCAGTCTATCTGCACTAGTCTTCATGGATTTATAACAGAGGAACTATACAAGTCTCATTAAATTACACACTCCCAATATCACTGTACTACTGCATACATAAAATCTTCAAATCACACATTAAGTCTTCACCGGCTGACTTCTAATTCTTCTTCAACTATGAACTTCCCATGGCGACCTCCTACCGAAAACTGACCGACTCTAGTGCTGATTGTCCTCAAGATAACTCCTCTGTGTGGACCCCATGGAAAACCTCTATTTTTTATGACGTCACCATTTTCATAGCACAGACAGGTATGCAGAAATGTGTTTATCGAGCCCTTGCCTAGAAGCAGGTTGCATAACCCCACTGTTCCACCGCTGGATGACATAGAAAACACAGCTTCATGTATTGTTGCGTGCTGGAACATGTTCATAGAGCTGCTGCCTGGCAATGCACTGATCAAATCTGTTACATTAATATTATGGAATTAATCATTATAATTCATCCAACTGATGAAAAGCAATAACGAGTGACACGTTACAACGAAAAAAACTACCATTTTTATTATACTGTGATGTGAAGGCTGCAAGCCAGAATTGTGGAATGAATATATGCAGCCACTGCTAGGCAACAGTGTGGTAAACAGGTCTATGGCAAAGAATAAACATACAACATCTAAGGAACTGTTGGAAGCGGTGTTTTCTATGCAGTCCATGCTGAGGCTATACAGACAGGACCAAAGGGAGAGTTAGTCAGTCTGTGGTCGGAGCTCGTAGTTATCTGGCAGCCTTGAGTAGCAGCCACTACCTAGCAATGACTAGTGAACAAACAGAACACTTTATATGTGTGTAGTTGTAGTGATCTATAGTGTAAATCACTGGGACTGTTACAGTTATTTGTAGTTACCAGCTATAAGTGTTCAATAAATCCAATTATCAAATCAAACCCTGTGTCTAGTCACCAACACGTGATAATACTGTTCAACCAATCCTACATTTAAACAGCTGATGATAATGAACTATGATCATATGAATGAGGAAATGCATTGAAATAGGTGATTCAAATCCCATATAGTATGTAGCATAGTATATTACAGCACTCTCAAAACTGAGGATGAAGCACCTATAAATCACCTAACTGTACATTATTATAGTTATCACCAGATATATACAAGTACAATTACAGTGTTTTCGACATTATCCATCATCTTGTTTTTCAAAGCACAACGTTTCGGGTGATTGGAGTCTGTCTCGATCTTCAGGTAAAACGTACTCAGTTGGGCCCAATCGATAGAGCTAGTCCATATCTCCAGACACCAGGGACTAGCTCTATCGATTGGGCCTAACTCAGCTGTTTTTGCCTGAAGATGGAGACAAAATCCAGTCACTGAAATGAGTTGTAAATAAAAAACGGGGCCATGGATATGTCCAAAAACACAACTGTATTCACATACCATTCTCACAAACTTTTATATCATATATATATATACAAGGTTTAGTATAGCATTTGTTTCTGAAGCAAGATTAGATAAATCGGTAACACCTTAGCCAATAAACACTGGTTAATACAGGTTCATTGGCGAAAAGGATGCACTTCATATAGGATATGAGATCCTCACAGCAGTTTTTATGGAGAATTTTATCTTCTGCAATGTAAGATCATGCAGTTTTGTGAAAGTCTACCCAACGTTTCACAAAGAATACCTCTAAAATGTCAGCTGACTTACTCCAGATTACATGGGGATATATCCCAGAAGACATAACTCTTCAAAACACTTCATGTTTTGATATAAACTTGTACTGAATATGAAAAATATATTCTGTAATAAATTTTGAAAGAATATTTGCTATTTTAATTTAAATTCAATTAATTGAAATTTTGATTCTCAAGATTCTGACTCCATATTAATTACTGAAAGCAACGACTACAGCATGTACACAAGCATTTGATATTCGTAGATACAAACATTCAGCGAAAAACCCATAATGTTACTACCATCCATCTTGTGTAATTTCAACTTTTGGGATTTAGCTGCATCAAGTGTCAAAGTTGTTTCAACACTGCAGTTTTCAATTTCAGGACTATCAAACTAAAAGAAGTCTGGTCTCATCTCATCCTCCAAATGTTCTCCTTTACCCAGGGGTCGGGGAACTTTTTTACTTATTACCCCAAAATATATTTATTTACGCCAACGTTACCCCCTTGATTTGAAAGAGAGAAAATCATAGATTATTCAAATTCAAAAGGTTTATTGAATCTATTTATATGGAGAACACAATTATAAATATAAAAAGTATAAAATAATGCGATAAAATACGAGTAAATTAATATCCTCATTATGAAACAAAAGGATTTCTTGGAAATTTTTTTTTTCACTTCAGGTTTTGGAGAAATAATGTTTCATTTTTGATACAATAACACCAAAATTGGGACATTTTGATGTCAGAGCAATTTGCATACTGTTTTCGGGGTCCAGTCGATTTCTCTGCTTTGTCTTTATGTTCAGTAGAGTGGAAAATCCTTGTTCGCAAAGGTAGGTTGTTGTAAAGGGCAGCAACTTTTTGACTGCCTCCTCATGTGCAATTTTGAAAGCATTTGCAGCTCTTGACATCCAAAAATATGACAGATCTGCTTTGTTTTCAAATTCAATACGTGCTTCATTATTGGATCGAAGTTCAAGAAGTGCCTCTGCCAAACCTTGAGGCTCTTCTGGTACATCAGCAATTTCACATTTAAAGGGATCTACAACCCAACTGACATTATGTGATTCAAGATCAGGAAAGTAATCATCAAACCGCTTTTTGAGTTTGGTAAGATGCCTTATAACTGTGTCCTTGATGTCATCAAAAGTAATACTTTCACAATCTTCCAAAAAGAAAGGCAACCGTGAAAAGGCAGCAATCTTGTTTTGTTCTGCTTTCTGTCTCCAATATACTCGTAAAAGCTTTGATCCAAACGCTATCGTCCACAACATGCTGGGTGCGTTTATCTATAGAAGTGTTTAGTGATGACGTCACGCTGCCATGATAGAACAATTTCCGTAGCAGCCGTTGTTACGGATGGTTATATAACGGAAGAAAAATTTCTGTCATAACAAGGAACGCATTTTTTATACAATTTCATTTGTCTATTGAGTCCTCATTACCCCCAAGAATTTCATTTTTACCCCACTTGGGGTAATTTACCCCGGTTCGCCGACCACTGCCTTAACCATAGGGTACCTTCCCATTAGACAGTACAAAGTTCCACACCTCCTCCCTTACTTCTACCGTGAGACATACATATTTGGCTGCATGGCCCTAATTCAGGGGTTCTGTTCTGAAGGTTCCCAGAGCCACCAGATAGTAAAAGATGGTGATGAGCCACATAGTGCTCAGAACCAAGATTCACTGTGCTGGCTAGGCCAGCAGCAATTTAGTGGTCAGTGGTCGGTCGGTCGGTCAGTCAGTCAGTCCACCTCATTCAAAATGAAAATGGTGACTAAAATGTACGCCAAATTCTTGGCACATCTTCAACACCTGCTGTGGCTAAACCTTGAAAGCTGGAAATACACATTAAACACAGTCCTCAGCAATCCACTTATCAGAATATATACATCATGTCACACCCAGTTTGAATAAGAATGAAAGCCAGAAAAGTAATACAAATGTTAACCATGAATATGAGACTTGCAAGTTTGGTACCAACAATTACTACTACTGTAATTTCTTTTCATGTAAGTTTGACTTCTCAGACACAGAATAAAAACATGTACTGTAATCAATTATATGCTCATATATGGGTTTGGTCTCAAAGAGTACAGAATCATATGGTTTTAGGTGCATGAAATTCATAACTATGTGCTTTGTCAAAAATAACCTCTTTCGTCTTTGTGATATTTTCCATTGTGGTCATTACATTACTAACAGCAACATGCAAAATTCTTTACATGCAACATTTTGGTCAAACCCTCTCTACTGATTTCTTGAAAGGCATTAAACATGCTAACACTAAACTGAACATTAGGCCACGCAACAGCTCAAGCGGTTAGTTGCTGGCTTCCCACCGCGGTGGCCCGGGGTCAGTCAAGTGGGATTCGTGGTGGACAAAGTGATGCTGGGGCAGGTTTTCTCCGAGTACTTCGGTTTACCTTGCCAATCTTCATTCCACCCACTGCTCCACAATCACCCTCACTTACTATCTGGGGCTGGTAGAATAGACCAGAAGTGGCCACAGTACAAGGGACTTAGTCCCACCCCACTAGCAATAAAACAAAACTGAACATTGTGTCGCATAAAATTAATTTTTAAAATATGCAACTGAAAGTGGCCTGAAAAAGCCTACGAGGTTGTATCGGAAAGTTCCCGGACTGTTATTGTTGTAACTACCTCAATGAAAAAAGATGAAAGGGGAGGCCAAGCTCACACTTCCCCAAGCCTACTACTGCAGCCGTCTGCCACGTGACACCGCGCTGTGAACATGCATTCCTTTTAAATGAGTGTTTTTTTGACTTCATGTTTTATTTTGTCTGTGATGGAGCAAAATTGAGCAAAATGTCTGCATCAAATTTTGCATGAAGCTCAGTAAATCCACTACCGAAAGCCTTGAAATGCTTTGTGAGGCTTTGGGAGACCATTCTTTAAGTCAGACATCGGTCTTTGAATGACATTCGTGTTTCAAGGTCGGTTGAAAGTCAGATGAAGATGACGAACGTTCAGAGTGACCAAGCACCAGCAAAACGACAGAAAATGTTGAAACAATTCGACAACTCATCCACGATGGCCGTTGCCAAACAATCCAAGAGCCTGCAGACACCGCTGGAATCAGTTATGGAGTTTGCCAGAAGATCTTAACAGACCATTTGAACATGCATTGCTCCTTCATCAACACAACGTGTCCACCCACAAGTCACTGAAAACCAGAGTTTGTGACTAACAACAACATGGTTAACATTCCCCATCCTCCCTATTAGCCGAACTTAGCCCCTGTGATTTCGCGTTGCTTCCCAAATTGAAAATGAAACTGAAGGGACAACGTTTAGAAAGAGTGTCTGACATCAAAAGGGAATCGCAAGCAGTACTCAACAGCATTTCGGAAAATGACTTCCATAGTGCTTTTGAAGCGGGGGGGGAATAAAACGATGGGATCACTGTAATGTTACCAAGGAGACTATTTTGAAGGAGATGGCAGCTAAGCCAGCATTTCTTTTTTGACCTAGTCCGGGAACTTCGCGATAGTACTTCGCATCCAGAATCCACAGAATGTTGATGCATTTTAACTTTAGACAGGATACAATGAGCCCATACTATAGAAATTGACTTAGTATTTTGCAGGATTTCTAATTAACGGAAAGAATAATTAACCCTAAATTTTTTCCACCATAAAAGGGATAGCCTTATGCTATTCTGTCGCCTTCTTTGATCGAAGAATGCAATATATTCATAAATATGCACCAAAGATGCTCTAAAAATTAGACATCTTAACTCCAGACTTTGTGCCATTTAAATGTGGCTGCACAGGCGGCAGAATGCCACTGAAAGACATGCTTAAAGGGATAAATAGTGGTAGTTAAAAACTATTAATTTCATGTCCAAAAGCAACTTCAATCATACAAAGTCTTCCTTGAATGACAGAATTTTCTGACTTTCTTACTCTCAGCCTCATGGCTGGAACCTTAACGGTCATCTGCCAAAAAACAGGAGTCTAGCACTGTGGCTAAAATGCCATACACTGTAAACACTGATGTGCACTTCCCAAAACAAATCAATTATTTAAAAGACACTGTCTCCTTTCTGCTCTTGAACAAACTCCAATACTCTTGAGAAGACTGTGTGACAATGATTAGTTCCATAAATATAACTGCTTTGCAAATGGGACACTTCAGTACATACAGCGTGCAATAATTATTTGCATATACTTTGTTTTGAAGTTTCCCCATAAATAAGTCATAGGAATTTAAGTCTGGAGACTTTGCAAGTCACAATTTGTCACTTATCAGAGAGTCTTAAAAAAAAATGGAACAAACTCTGTGGATTCACTCCACAGGTGAACTATACCGACCGATCAACCGCCACCTGTCAGCAAAGTTAGTGCCAACTTTAGCAGATAGAAGGTGGTGCATGGTCAGCACAAGAGATCCCCATGGCCATTACTTTCAGGTTTCTAGACTGGAGTTACTATTTCCTTGAAATAGCTCCTCAATTATCCTCATGTTTAGTGGACCCCATTCCAAACCCACTACTTCTCAGAAAATCTGGCAGCGCCGGGAATCGAACCTGGACCTCTGGATCTGTAGCCAGGAACTCTGACCACTAGACTACAGAGTCTGTCTTCAAACACCCTGCTTAAAACATGAATGGAATAATGAGCAGTGTGTGTTGCAGCACCATTGTACCTAAAACAACCATGTCTTTTCTTTCACTGTAATGTTCTCAAAAAAGGGGTCAAACAATATCACTGGCATACTGCCCTGAATTTCCAGTCCGTTAAAAAAATATGCAGTCCATTGTTTGTGTGGCATGTGGCAGCAATGGCACACCACACACAAATTTACTGATTGTGAAGGGGTACTTCAAAAGTCTCTGAGGTTAACAGTACTCCAGCACCTATTATGATACTTGTTAACATATCTGGTCAGGTGAAACAAACTTCATCAGCAAAAAATCCAAGTTTTAAGTCAATGTCACCATAATATAGTGCCCACAAAAACAAGTTACAAAAGGTCTTATTCAACTGTAATTTGTCTTCCTCTGTTACTTGAACCTGTCTAATTTTATGCAGCAGTAGACATAACTTTTTAGTTCCTCTCCATACTGCTGTTGTAGAAACCTGTGCATATTGAGCTAATCATGCTGAGGATTTGTGAGGTGATCTTTTAATGTGGATCAAAGTTCATCAAGCATTTTCTTAGTACAGCATTCTGCCTACTCTATCAGTTCTGTGAGAAATATCCAGTTCAATGCTCTTTGCTCATGAATTCAAGAATCACTGAAGAAGCTGGAATTTGAACAGCAGGATACTTACAGCAAAACGTTCTTTGAAGGCATTATATGATTATGTAAGATTTGAGGCTTTCACGGCGGTGACTATGAAGAAAGCAGTCTTGTGGGATTTGGCACCGTGTATATGTAGTGTTAACCGACGTTTTGGAGGAACGTATCGCCTCCATCTCAGGGTAGAAGAAAAAATATAAGAAATCTGCAAGCGAAGAGACCGTGAGAACCGTGAGATGGAGGCGATACGTTCCTCCAAAACGTCGGTTAACACTACATATACACGGTGCCAAATACCAGAAGACTGCTTTCTTCATTATATGATTACCTTTTACACTGTACTGTACTGTACAGTAAAATCTCCTATCTTAAGTATATATTTCACTACCTCAGTACAGTACTGTAAATGAGAATGACTATGGGAACAGAAACACAAACAGACAAACAGATATTTCGGTCATTTGCACATGCAGTCATAGCAGTACAAGACACCAACAACAGAGACATTGCACACTAATGTCCCTATCTCTCTGTTCATCCATTTGTTGTGCACACCAAGTTCAGCTAAGCTTTCAAGTTTTCTCACAGCTGCAGAAACTCAACTCAGTCAAGAAAGACTCTGTACAAGGGAGAAGCTCTTTAGAGAGAGAAATAAAGTGGGCCAATCACACATCACTTTTGTAAACAACTGCCTCTTACCCTATAAATGCAACATGAGTGCTCATGTCCTGACTCATAGCATGCCCTGTCCTTTGACTGATCTATATCAGAGTTCAGGCGAAAACTCATATGCAGATCTTCAAATTCTTCAATTGCCTGGAACTGGACACTTACATCAATTTGATGTCTGAAAGCATAATGTTATTCATTCTGAAGCCAAAGGTAACGATACAACCACAGGTACCATAATACATTGTTATAAGAAAGCCAGCAAAACTATAGCAAGCATGCAAGAGAATATATATATCATATGGCAAATGACAATGCTTATCAAACAAAGCAAATGCTGCATGTTAGTAAGCATAGAATGAATACGAAATTTAAGTTCATTAAGCAGTTTACACATGCCCCCAAATGCCAGAAACATGTAGAATGTTGAATTTTGTACATATTTGTACACATTTTATCCACATACTATACACATCAAAAGAATAATGCTTTATAACATTAAAATAAAATTAAAAATTCATAAATAATTACCTTAACATCACACTATATTTTTGTACTAATAATTTAATAAAATTTTCAACTTTCCCCTTCTCACTGGGAAACAGTTAAAGCATAATTGTCAGCTTACACTTAAAGCAATCTCCCACCAGTGTTGTATAATACCATGACCACAGGTGCATGAATGGGAATCACATTTTCTGGTTTCAAGCTGCATTCTGGAAACATTTATCCTACTGAGAGAAAACTGCCACTGCCTCCTAGAAATAAACAAACATAGCAACAACATCTACTAAACTACATGCCAGAAACTATCTGCAATTTCTGCATTATTGATGAAAGACACTGTTAACAGAGTTGCAGTTTTGCTAAACCAACCCACTCACAAAACTCTTCTTGCTTTTGGTACTGACCTTGCATTTTTCTGAAAAACTAATTGCTTATGTAGAGGGATAACAAAGAAGCAGAATGTAAACCCAGCAGTATGCATGATATGATATTCTCAGAGAAGTGGTTATGAAGAGATTTATATTCTGGGATAAAATGCTGTGTAGTCTAGTGGAAGTCAATGGACATTTTGTAGGATTATGTCTCCTCCATCTTCAGGGTTGAAAAGTAAGCCACGCAAGAAATCAGCATGAAGGAAGCAGTAGGCATTGTAATTTTCAGCATTAGCATGGGACACTGCATCCAGCTCTGTAACATCATTATACTCGCCACCAAACTCAAATATATAGCCACATCATAAGGGATGCAACTGATATCACGCCCCATCCCTATAATATTGTCAAGTGTCACAGTGACTAAGACACGGGTTTGAATTGGTAATTGGATATACTGGATACCTACAGGTCATAACTACAAATAATTATAATACTATTGCTGATCTATACCATTTACGTACAATCACTCCACACTAATATTGTCAGCCTTATCTGCACTAGTCCTCACGGATTTATAACACAGGAACTATAAAAGTATCATTAAAACATACACTTCCAACATCACTGTACTACAGCAAACATAAAGTCTCCAAATCACATGTTAGATCTTCAAAGGCTGACTTCTTGTACTCTTCTTCAACTACGAACTTCCCGTGGTTATCTCCTACCGAGAACTGACTTGTCTTTCAACTAAATGAATTGTCAGTTACATAGCCAAAAAATAGATATGCATCACAGGAAACACATTTCACGTAACCACCACTCACCACTGCATGGCTTCACCGTGGACATGGAAAACAAAGCCTCCTCTATAGTTGCATGTTTGACTATGTTTACAGAGCTGTTGCCTGGCAAACGCGTTATAGGATGACTTCTGCCTATGGAAACTTCTAATTTGCTCCCTAAAAGATTACGGGAAGCCTCTGTTAAGTTCCTCTAGATGGGCTCATCATGGAGCCCCTCAGGCCTGGCCACCCATCAAACTTAAGCCCTTCCTTGCTGTCCTAGCCTGCCTCTGCTACTCTTACTCTGTTAATACCTTACCATATGGCTCCAACCCTCCCACACACCTTCTCCCTGGCTTCATTCCCACCTTCCTCGGTTCTTTGCCCAATACACACTTATGTCTTCTTGCAGTGTGTGGTAACAGATCTGCAAAATGACCATTTTCAGGGCAGATCCTAGTTACCTTTCTATGTCTCCTATTAGTTCTCACTGCTTCCCACAGAAAAACAGTGGGAACTGACATATGCTCTTGCGGTTCCCTCCTGTTTTCTATATAATCCTGAATCTTCTACCAGCAAACTACACTACTTGCTGCATGCCTCATGCTGGGTTTACTCTTCAGCCCTGCAGTCAACTTTCACCAGACTATACAGTGTTTTATCTCAAAAGACAGAACCATTCTGTAGTATCACTCTTATAAGCTACAGGAAATGATATATCCAGGTTAGTTCCTGCAGTCCATCTGCCAAAAGTTTAATTTAAATATTACATCACTACTGGAGTTAGGTGTTCTCTGAATTAAGCATTTTACCATAACATGTTCCTTCTGTGGAACTATATTTACAAAGCAATACTGTGACATTTATCAGTTCTGCAACAATTACTTTTAGTAACCATTATGGGCTCGACATTATTTTACTTCACTACTACTTCACTGAACATCATTGTACTATCTTCTTGCACTCATACTGCTGTCAGCCTGGGACTGACTGCTTACTTTTTTGTAGCACTGTTTAGTCACACATGAACACGGCATGCCAGTTGTAAGTGCAAACTCACTCTCTCTCTCTCTTCAGGCTAGCAGGCGCTATTTTATACATGTAATCTTTCTAGAATGGTCCCACGCCTCTGCAAGGAGATTAGGCCTTTCATGTTGCTAGAATAGCTTGAAGATTAAACAATTATGTCCACGCTTTGGTGGTAACTTGCCTCACCCCCCACACTGTCTGAGTGACAATAGTTTTACTTATATATTAAAACAACATGTTTAATTGAAATGACACGATGTAAAGTTCACCAGCGATGGTTCACACATGGCCTCCCTTCTGTTTCTTTGTGTATATGATACAATATAAAAGGTCATATCTATATTTTCCCAATTCTTAAAAATTTTGAAATCATCTGAACCTAAGATGTGGGATGATACAAAAGTATGTGATCACAATATCAGTTTTAAAACTTCTGAACATCAGAACAGACTTGTACCAACCATTTCTTGAGTTGAAAGACAAAGAATAACGACAATCTGATCCTCAATAACTCCTACCCATAGGTCTCAACAAAAGATTAAAGTAGTCAGCACATTTCTAGAAACTGATGTTAACAATCAGAGACTTAATATTTGTTTCCTAATATTCTTAAATATATCAGCACCACCAAACATAGCACCATTATGATCTCACAGGTTTTCATTGAGTACTACTATGACATGATGGCTAAAAGCCAGAATAATGGAATGAGTAGAGATTGTCACTGCTAGGCAGTGGCATGGTAAACATGTTTCCATGGCAACAGATGCTGATACATTTCTGCACTAATAAATCAACATGCAAGAATGGTGGAACTGTTGAAAGATGTGCTTTCTGTGTGGTCTGAGCTTAAGTTATATAACAAGGACCAGCAGAAGCCAAAAAGACCATGTCGAGGCAGGGTCAAAAAGCTCCACTGTAGCTGTGTGAGTTGTATGAGGCGACGAAAAGAGTACCCAGTGCCTGGGGGGTATAACTGGGCCACCCTGTTCCTGGGGGATATAAATATGGGGACCTAATCCTCCAGGTTGGGGGAGTCTCCAATCATCAGAGAGGATGTTACATAAGGACTATGACCGGAAGTGTTCAGTTGAAAAAAAAAATACTGGTCTTGAGTCTCCAGGGGCTTGTTGCCAAGAAGAACTGATTGGTGGTAAACTGCCAGTCATAAAGTAACTCTAACTAGCAGCCAACATTAAACTAACCCCCCATAAGGCACTAATCAGATCAGCAATGACTTATGCTTGTCCCACGAATTTACATGTGCTGTAGTTGTAGTGATCTACAGAGTGCATAAATTAGTGAGCCTGTCATAGTTATTTGTAGTTACAAGTTATAGGCATTAATGCAAACCCCAAGTTTAGTCACTAGAACGTATAGTATCTTCTGAGATGTGATGCTGTGAAGTCCAGCAGAGGTTTATATGGAGAGGGAAAGAGACATCCACCTTCCCTTCCTAGATACTGATATTTACATGAGTTCAATAAGCTTTTTGGTTCATTCAGTATGACATAAACCTGTCCACACCAACCTGTCTAAACTATGTTTCCTAGCAACATTATTCAACAAGCTCTACAAGCTCTGTGCAACTAAAAGAGTCCACATGATGAACTGAGTTTTTCAAAGTCACTTTCAAGCAGAACAGCTATAGCAACCACCAAATTCCTCCTGAGAGGGGTTTTCCACCATAAGAAGCCTGACTCAGTCACCTTTCTGACCAATGTCAGGCCAACCTTCAACTACAGTAGCATGGTGCTGTCCCAACCAATGAAGTTGGTCAGCTCCCACTGAAGATTTCCACTTTCCTTTGGCTGATCAAGGATTGCCTAAGATCAAACACACCTGGAATATACAACGGCACATGCAATTTTGGTCAGGATTACAATGGGCGAAGAGGCCATTCAACTGATACCAAGGACATGGAATACCACTGACATATCTACATATCTTGATCATCCAGACAAGTCAGCCAAGGTGGGGCACAGCATTAACTTGGGACTTTGCATCCAACTCCAAAATATCAGTATCCTCTCCATCAAATCAGATACATATATATCATCAGGGGGGGCAACTGTGATTGAGCTCCATCCCAACAACATGAATAATGAGGACGGCTTCTTCTTAAGTATGTCACAGAAACCTCTAATTTACTCTCTGAAAGAATGAAAGAAGACTCCTTCACAGGATTTCTTGTAATGAGTTTTCCAATCAGACAATCAGGTGCGCTGCATACTGCCCTCTTCAGGGCATGGACAACACCCTTCTCAGGGTACTCATCTGTCCAAACTTGCCTTGCCAGCCCTTTTCTCAACAGTTTCTTCAGTTCACCTCCCACCTCAATCTGCCTACAACCACTGTCACTCTCCAGACCCACCTGTACTACCATTTCTAGCCTACTTTCTTTACTTACTTATGGAGCTGAGCCATTCTTGAGAAGCCAAATCTGCAGATACCCAAGAATTTCACAGCATTTTATGGAACCTGAAGGTTCATTACTGTGTTCGCAAGAGCCCCCCCACTGGTTCCTATCCTGAGCCAGATCAATCCAATCCATAACATCCCATCCTATCTCTCCAAGATACATTTTAATATTGTCCACCCACCTATGCCTTGGTCTTCCCAGTGGTCTTTTCCCCACCAATATCCTATATGCATGCTTCGTATCCCGCATTCATCCTACATGCCCTGCCCACCCCATTCTCCTTGACTTGATCATTCTAATTATACCTGTACTTGGAGAAGAGTACAAGTTATGAAGCTCCTCATTATGCAGTTTTCTCCAACCTCCTGTCACTTCATCCCTCTTTGGTCCAAATATTATCCTCAACAGGGCATTCTCTTACACCCTCAGTCTATGTTCCTCCCTTAATGTCAAAGAGCAAGTTTCACACCCATACAGAACCACGGGCAAAATCATAGTTTTGTATATTCTAATTTTTATGTTTTTGGACAGCAAAGGAGAAGACAGAAGGTTCTCGGCCGAATGGTAGCAAGCATTACCCAAGTTCAATCTCCTCTTAATTTCCTCCTGAGTGAGGTTTTTAATTTGTTATCGTCGTTCCC